CAGGAAAAAGAAACAAGGCAAAGCTGGAAGGAATTACTGGTTCTTTTCTCTTCTCACTGAGCCTGAAATAATTTTTCATAGTTCATGGCTCTGTCTGAATTTTGTATTTGAGAGACTAGAATGAGGAGTCATTTGCTTTTGGGAAAGTTTTTCAAGTCTAATATTCTCAAAAATAAATATTTTTTTTTCGTTATTTTTGTATTGTTTCTTCAACATAAGCCCCTTTGGGATTCCCTGATGTTTTTCTCGTGCTTCAGTATCACTTGTAAATTTAATCCTTGTACAGCATTAATCAATATTAAACCTTTTTACAGTTAATTAAGATGTATAGTAAAGGGGATGAAGTACTAATTGTTGTAGCACACACTTCATTTTCTTTTACAGGCTGGTACAGTTCTGTTTATCACTACTTTTTGCTAATTTAATTTTCAAAGTCTTTTCTTTGTCCATGTTTAATTCACTGCTACTAAAATATTGCTTCAAGTGAAACTTTAAGAGGTGTACTGGGTTCTAAAAAAGTTCTATTTACTGTTTCTCTGAGTAAGGTAATATACTCTTTGGTGTCCCAAAGTTCTTTCTCAAGTTTTTTGTTTTTCGTACTGGTTCATTTTACACATAGTGACTGATAATTGCAGAGCAACCTTTCGTAGACACCTTTATATATGACGATGTTACCAGTGGGAGAAGAAGTCTCACATAGCCTGGAACATTTTACTTAAAGTTTGCATTTTGTCCTTAAAACTTAATGAAAACATCAGTGGGTGTCTTGACTTCAGATTTAAAATATGCCTTAGAGAAACAAGACTGCCTTTTTGTCTCTTTCAAAGACTTTTTCCAATCACTTTATTTCTAGTATATTTGTAAACTGTGTTGTGACTTCTGCATCGTAGTGACATGTCCTCTGCAGTTTTCATTTGTGGAAAATACTTCTGCTAGAAATCATCACTGATTTTAAATTATAGGCAATTGGCTAAAACCAAAGTGTTACATCACAGACTTGCAAGCATAGTGTGCCAGAGTACCAGCACTGGCTGTGATGGCAACAGCCATGAAGGTGTCTGCATGATTAGGTTAGTTTGCAACGTAATGCACTTTTGGAGCAAATGCCCTGATTTACCCCATTTTCTGTGCTTTGCTTCAGTTCATAGGGCGCTTGGTATCGACCGCATAATGCTCTTTCATTTACTTATCCGGAAAGCTTTGATTGCATGTAGAGACTCTGCAAGCAGGATGTAATTGCTTTGTCCTCTTAAACTGTAAAATGTATTGGCTGACACACACAGAGTAGGTAGCTGGGGATATTGCAGTACTCATCACCCCTGTGGGGTGACCAATGAGTCTTTGCTGGCCTGGCAGTCAGCGATCAGGAGGAAAGGTTCAGCCTCCATTGCTCCCTGGAAGGGATTTGTCTTTGGTGCTGTGGAGTTACCACCCTCCAGCTACACAACTTTCGTCCTTGAGATTTGATACCTTTCCATGTCACTGCTTTTCCTCTTCAGTCCTAGCCCTATCTCAATACTTTTACCTGTGTCTGGAATTTTACCTTTCCTATTTTGCATGGATTCTAGTCTACCTGTTTCATTGTAACTCTTGATAGAATAGGCAGTTTTCTTGGAATACTTAGACAAGATTACACAGCTGTGCTGTTGTGTCATTATACAGTGTGTCATGGATGGCTGAACATCCAGGAGGATGGTGATACCTACTTGCCTGCAAATCTTCATGATGCGCTCTTCCATCAGGATCTCATAGAATCATAGAATGCTTTTGGTTGGAAGGGACCTTTAGAGGTCATCTAGCTCAGCCCCCCTGCAGTGAGCAGGGACAGCTTCAACTAGACCAGATTGCTCAGAGAGCCGTGCAGCCTAGCCTTGAATGTTTCCAGGGATGGGGCCTTCATTACGTCTCTGGGCAAGCTGTTCCAGTGTTTCACCACCCTCATGGTAAAAAATTTCCTCCTTATATCCAGTCTAAATCTACCCTGCCTTAGTTTAAAGCCATTACTCCTTGTCCTGTCACAACAAGCCGTGCTGAAAACCTTTTCCCCCAACAGCTCCATGTCCTTCTTGTGCTGAGGGCTCCAGAGCTGGACACAGGACTCCAGGTGGGGTCTCAAGAGAACGGAGTAGAGGGGCAGAATCACCTCCCTCGACCTGCTGGCCATGCTGTTCTTGATGCAGCCAAAGATACAGTTGGCCTTCTGGGCTGTGAGCTCACATTGGTAGCTCATGTCCAACTTTTCATCCACCAGTACCCCTGAGTCCTTCTTGGCAGGACTGCTCTCAATCCCTTCATCCCTCAGCCTGTATTGATAGCAGGGGTTGCCCTGACCGAGATGCAGGACCTTGCATTTGGCCTTGTTGAACCTCATGAGATTCATATCTTTCACCCAAATGTTTTCTGGCTCGGTATGCTTTCCTTTCCTACCAGCCCTACATTTTTCTGTTTTCAATTCTTACACATATTCTTTCCAAACTCATATCTTGCATTCCCTGCCCCTCCTTTTTTATTGTGCTGCTTTTTTAATATTGCTGTTTCCAACTGATTTTCCCAACGGCAGCAGCTGTTCTGGCCTCGTAGAAGAGCCAACAAGATGGGGCCTTAGGAACACAGTGCTGCCTGCTGCCCACATGTGCCCTCTTCACCACATCTGTGGCTTGCAGTTCAGCTGACTGACACTTGTGGAAGTGTAAACACATCTGCCTTACTGCAGTGAGTCGGTGTGTGAGTCTTACCGCAGCCCCCACACAGACAGAATAATATGTCAGGACTGGTTTATTAGGGTGTCCTCCTGAAGCAGGTAGAGACCCCACTCTCCCTGTCATTCAACTGATGTCCAGGCTCTGCATTGATTCAAGTTGCAGTGACCATTTCATTACTTGTAAGCAAGGTCTGCTTCTGTGTGTGACCTGTTGCAGCTCTTACTGGCAGCAGGAGTGCGTCACTGTGTGGCACTGGCGTGCCTTAGGATGGGCTGCTTAGGGGCCCACAAACCTAAGTTTTGTGCAATAGCTTTCCATGGGCAGCTTCTCATCACCTGGGAGTATTCAGACTGGGATACCAGTCTAACTGATCTGAAATAGCATCCCTGAAACCATACTGTGTGGACATAAGAAGCCTCAGCGCCAACTGCTTTGATTCCTGATCTATATCCATTTTACCTCATGAGTTACTAATACAGACATCCTCAAAATTTCTTCACTCAGTTCTGGATCAATCACACACAGTGGGCAAGGCATGAACCCTTTAACTATGCTTTCATACTTTCCTGCAACTGGAATTTCAGGCACACCCTCTTCCTTCTATCTCCAATTCAAGTCTGCTCCCACTTCCCTAAAGCAACCCAATAACCCTAACATAAACATTGAATTAAAAATGAATCACGTGTTTTTCACTGTTGTTTATAAGTATTACTGACATCTTGAACAGAAGTTTACTATTCAGATGTCCAAGCTGATGATCAGCTCCTCTAGCAATGTATGAATCCACTATAGGCTACTTCTCATTGCTTCATGATATTTTTGAACTGCTTTAATTCAGCTGCATTTCTCTGCTCAGATGTCTCTTTTTCTATAACAGCTATTACAAATTGTGTGCATATTTTTAAATACAAAGCAAGACAAGTGGTGTAAAGACCTTCAAGACAACTTGTGGCATGGTATTTAAAATAAATAGTGATATCTTTCCTAAGTGCTGATAAAAGTATGACTGATGAACTGTTATCTTTTATCAGACAAAAGAGTGATAAAATATCTACTAAAAAGACCATTTTAATATAAACAAGGTATTTTGTAACAAAGGTACATTTGTGGTGGTAAAAGCTATATTGCAAATATGGTGAGAATACTCTATGCAGTTTTTTCTTTCTTTTTTGCCTATTTCAGTATCTCAAAATGCTGTCTTCGTTAACATTTGTCACATTATTCAAAGCCTTAAGCTGTGACCCTGTAAGATCATATATAAGACTAATATGGCTTATTTAATCATATCAGTCTTTGCAGGATCAGAGCCTTACTTTCAATGAAGTAATAAATTCCAAGAGATAAACATCCTTAAGTTCCACTAAAAAGTAAAAACTTTAAAAATCATAGAATCATAGAAAGTTTTGGGTTGGAAGGGACCCCTAGAGGTCATCTAGTCCAACCCCCCTGCAGCGAGCAGGGACACCACTAACTAGATCAGGTTGCTCAGAGCCCTGTCCAACCTGGTCTTGAATGTTTCCAGGGATGGGGCCTCCACTACCTCTCTGGGCAACCCGTTCCAGTGTTTCATCACCCTCATTGTAAAGAATTTCTTCCTTATATCTAGCCTAAACCTACCCTGTTTTAGTTTAAAACCATTACCCCTAGTCCTGTCACTGCTGTCTCTACTAAAAAGATTGTCCCCATCTTTCCTATAGGCTCCCTTTAAGTACTGAAATGCTGCAATCAGAATATACCTTAAAAATGTCACTGTTTGTATCTGTGCAAAATTGTTTGCAGTTTCATTGCATTATTCGCATTAACTCTGTAAGGCAGGAAACATGCAAATTACAGACTGGAATAATGTATTTTGTTATTCTTAGTAACAAAGCTAATTCAAAGTTCGTGTTGAAGAGTTGTATTATATTCTAGGCACAACCTCTTTAATTATAGCAGTCTCTGAATTACTAAGTAGTTTCAGAAATTCCTGTTTCCCTTTTGCGGAAGAGTAATGAAAAGTGTGAATCATGCTTTCCACATAATTTAGTGAAATCCTTCATTAGTGAGAAATGACATTTCTATTCCGTATTAAATAAGTTCTTTGTGCATGGGAAGTATCTCTTAATTTGTTTAAAATTGCTAGGAATCTATTACCTTTATAGGATGAATACTGATTGCTATGCCATTGCTATTTTCACAAGCAAATCAGTTTCAAACAAAGGTTATTAACCGCATGCTAAATCAATTGCTGAAAGAGAATATAACATTGTTTTTCAGCACTATTTTCAATTAAAATGTGCTCCTTCTGTAATCCCACAGCTGACCAAACAGGAATGTTATTTATAGGAGATGCAATAATACAGGTCAGTAAACATTCACTTTTTCCACAGATATTTGTTTCATACTTACCTTTATATCATTAGCTAACTTACACATTGCAAATATTTTTCTCCCTGTCCTATCTGTTTTTAGGTTAATGGTATAAATGTAGAAAGTGCTACCCATGAAGAAGTGGTAAGTCACTCCACTTTCATTTTTTGATAGTGTACAGAATATCCTGTGTCCGTGTGTCCATCCTGTTCTGTCTCTAGCCTTGCTCCATGTGAGTTTACTCTTTTTTACTGTAAAGACACAGTGCTATAGTCAGGTTTGTCATATATGTGATTACTAAAAGCTTAATTTTGTCTGTTAGTATTTGTTGTATTTTCTGCACTTTTACTGTTACTTTTCTTCATATTAAGATATATGCACTTGTAGCACAAATGTACTATTCCGAAGTTGAATCTCCATAATAGTTTATTATAGTTTTTGTATCCCTTATATCAAATAAGTATTTCAAAGCACATAATAAGGCAAAAATGCAAGATCCTGGTAGGTTACTTCTGTTCTATTGAGCAGGAAGTATATCACTTTTATCAGTGAGCACACGATCTTTTCTTTTTTTTTCCCTGTAAACTTTACACTGGGCTGCTTGGCATGAAAATCAATAGAATGCAAATGAAAAATTAAATGGCCTTTACTATATAAGAATGAATGGTGAAAGTGAGAAACATGTACATTACCTTTTTCATGATGCTACTGTAGATACTAAAATGTCCTTTGGGTAATCACAATTAGTCTTTCAAGGATTCCAAATAAATTGAATAGTCTTTTATATATATCATTTTATATGCATATATAACATATATATGTGTGTGCATACATATAGTCTTTATGGATTATGCCTTTGGTATAGTACCTGATGCACTGGGATTGCAGGTGCTCCTAAAGGGTTCACCTGCTGTCGTAGTACATTTAAATGGTAATGAAATTCTCAGCGTCTTAGCATTTCAGGAACAGGGATTGAATTAGTTTAGTAAATAATCTGATTTAAACTACTATAAAAACAGCACTTAAAAATCAGAATATCATAGAATCATAGAAATTTTTGGGTTGGAAGGGACCCCTAGAGGTCATCTAGTCCAACCTCCCCGCAGCGAGCAGGGACACTGCTAGCTAGATCAGGTTGCTCAGAGCCCTGTCCAGCCTGGTGAGTGTCATGATCGTGCTCAGGTGTTAAAATGCTTTGATTCCCATTTCCCTCGGTGCAACCAAAAAGGAATCAGCTTTTGTTGGTCTTACCCCTGCATGCACTGAAAAAAAGAATGTTGTGCTACCAATTTGTAAGTGTACAGTTGTGTGAGAACATGGTGATTCCTGATGGGAAATTTGTAAAGGAACACAGTTATTTGGTGAAATGATGTAACATGACCTAATTTCAGTTGTACCCTATTTATATTTATGTACCATATACATTATTGGTGTGACCTGTGGTGCACTGCACAGTGCTCCTGTTTCGTGCCCAGAATTCTCACATGTTAAGGAAGTAACAATAACAATAGCATACAGTGTTATTCTGAAACTGTTTTTAAATGCTGGGACAAGAATGGGAGGAATGTTTTTAAATTTCATCTTATTTTGTAAGTCATTTTATGATGCTATTTATCAGATTTTGTGGAAGTTTCTTTATTAGGAAGGAAGAAATGTGCTTAAATATTGGTCCTTTTTGATGGTATCCATAGGACTAAGATGCATTTCCTATCTTCAGTCCGGAGTGCACGTATTGGACGCACTCTTAATTCCTAGCTGGTACTCGGGGAGGTTAGAGAGCTATAGATAACAAATAACCATAATAAAGAAGTCTTATGCCTCATAAGTCCATACCCACATGCAAGCAAGAGCAGAATACAAAAAACATACAAAGTTCTCAACTTCAGGCTGGGAGGAGATTAGGCACACATCTCTGTATCTTGGTTTTCGTGGGAAAACCAGTGTGCGTGGGTTGCTGCGACATGCTGAAAAGGCCCCTTGCCCAAGACTGTACAGCACGCTGTGGAATGCAGGTGCAGTTTCTGCATAGCTTTTGAATCTGGTGATGTTCAGTTTAGGGAATCTTGAGACTGAAGAATGGAATTACGGTGACTAGTTCTGTCATGATATGCTGACTCTTGCTGGTGTATTCATTTTCACGGTAATGTTCAAGAAACGGATCAAGGTCTTCCAGTGAGTTTTTTATTTACTTAAAAGGAAAATTATTAGAATGGTTTTTTACATTGCTTTATGGAATTAAGATGACAAGGGCTTCTTTTGGGGAAAAAATAAAGTAGGGAACTACCTTCTGCTTATAAAGAATGCTGCTTCTGTAGCATTTCAATGCTTAGATGCTTGCAGCTGATCCTCAAATGAAAAAGCTCACATCAATCATTGCTCTGTATTACCTAGAAGAGTTTAGACAAGAGGTAAGCCAGAAGTTGGTGGCTGAATTTCCAGAACATTTTCACGATCGTGTGTTCCCCAGTGGGCCTAAGATGAATATCTTAGATCAATGTTCTGGCAGCATTTCTTGCGCTTTCCCCTCCACTTCATACTCTGCTCCAGTTGGAGAATCACTTCCATAGCAACACTCAGACTAGTGTGTTAAAAAGCACAGAGGATGGGACATGGCTGGGAACCTGTCCATTTTGGAAGCCACTGAAGCAAATCACCAGCTCCAAGTGACTCCTAGCAATAACGTGTTTCATAGCATCTGTTCCCTGTGCTGCCTGCTCTCACCTGAACCCCTGATACCTCAGCCCCATCCTTCTCCTGTACATCACTTCCAACAATTCCATACCATATAGCCTTGATAGGCCACTTCCTCTGCTGCAGTGGTGAATGCTGATTTGGTAATGGATGGTTGAAGGTTTAGTACCTCCAAAGCTTTTGCTAAGGATTCTCACCTAGCCTTATAATTATGAAAATTTTATTGGTTTCATTCTCACTGAGTTAAAGAAAAGCAGTAGCCAGTAATATGCTTTTTTTTTTCTTTTTTGCTTTTACAGTGATTTCATGTGGTTTTGAAATACAGTTTACCACAATATTTGTTCTAACCTGAAAGAAAATAATGTGTTGAATAGTGGTTAGTTTTTAACTATTTTGTTTCATATATCAGATTGACTGTATATGGATAAAGCCAGGTCCCATTCACTATGTGTAGTGCTTTTCCAGTCTGCAGTGCGAGGCAGTATAGATAAAAATTGTTACCCCTTGCTGCCTGTTTATTGGCAGTTATCAGTCGATTCACTGACAACTGTATCTCAGAATAGCATCTGTAGCAACCATAAATGACATGGGCTTTGACAGTCTTATCAGCGAGGCAGAAATTACATGGGCATAGGAACTAAACTTGCTTTTATTGCTTGGAAGTGATCTCTCTAGGTCAAGATAAAGTGAAGCTGCATGATCTTGCTGTCGTTGTCTTGGTGTTGATTAATACCATCAGGCTGAATCTCTGGAATAATTACAGACTATCTCAGTAAAACACACAGTCAGGTCTGTTGTGTATTGGTGAACTGCCCTCCTGCTGCTTGTGTACAAAACTCTAAACTTCGTGAAAGTTATTCGCCGCAAAACAGTAAGTTACATCCCTTAAAGATTGTTTTTCAGTACCAAGAAGCACTCCAGAACTGTTGATGTAACACAGTTATTCTGCAGTGGTGAGGAATGATAAATTTATAATGCTGCTCTTTGCCCTGTACCTGGGAATTCAGTAGAAGCGTAAACAAAACTTCCTGGAACAACCGTAGGCCACATGGCTGAAGGAAGCTCCAGAAGGCAGAGAGATCTCAATGGGCCGGGACACAGATCTGCAAAGAGACTTTTCTGCTACCACAACCCACTATCATAATCAGAGTGAGGTTAAATAAATGAGTCAGCTGGTAGAGGAAGGGGCTGATTGTATGAGATCTGAGGTGAGGTAGGTTATTGCCAAAGTTCCTGAGAGAAAGGAAGATGTTTTATTTCTTATTTTTATTAAAATTATGTAATTTCATTTTTATGAAATAATGGTTGAGATTTCTCATCCAAAATAAAAATCACCTCATTTGAATATGGTGGTTTTTCAATTGAGAAGAGATGCTTCAAAAAAAAAGGTTAATTTAATGTCTCTAAGCTTTCAGTTGTTTGTCAGTAGCTGTTATTTGTAGATGGAACATGTCAAAGATGATGCACTTGTTTGCTACCTGTCAGGAGGTTAATATTTCTCATCTCATTTTTGTTGGATTGCAGAGACCCAGAGTATATGCACTTTCACACAAACATGGCACATAAACATCTAAAGCAAGATTTATATTGAATTTAGGAAAAAGTCTGAGCGAACCATTTAACTTTTTGAAAAAAGGAAGCCTTTAGCTTACATTCTTGAGGGTCTATGGATCCATATGTCTTTTTGTTTGATGAAAGTGAAGGTGTTTAAACTCCTGGTATGGCACAGATCCAGAACTGCAGTAGTATTTTCTTAAAAAAAGTGCTACTTTCATGTGTAAGGTTTTTAACGTATGCAAAATAGGAAATCCTACCCCTAAGTTCCATTTAGAGTTCAGAGACCATGTAAACAATCAGCTTTGAGTTTTATCATAGCTAATCATAGACTCATAGGTTGGAAAAGACCTCTAAGATCATCAAGTCCAACCATCAACCCAACACCACCATGCCTACTAAACCATATCCCGAAGTGCCACATCTACACATTTTTTGAACTCCTCCAGGGATGGTGACTCAACCACTTCCCTGGGCAGTCTGGTCCAGTGCCTGACCACTTTTTCAGTAAAGAATTTTTTCCAGTCTGAACCTCCCTTGACGCAATATGAAGCCATTTCATCTTGTCCTATCGCTAGTTACTTGGGAGAAGAGACCAACGCCCACCTCACTGCAACCTCCTTCCAGTAGGTTTGGGCACCTAGAAACACCGCTGAAGAAGGTAGCGTTACATTGTATTAAGCTATTAATATAGTAGGTTAGTGATTAAGGGTACTTTTCCAGAAAGCAGGAGGTTAAGGATAGACCACTCATGTAACTTTTAGGAAATCATACCTGCGTCTTCTACCTCTGTAAAGAGTGCCCTATTTTCTGAGTGTGTCAGGTTAGGTGAGAGGCACTCCAAGAATTCTGTTCAAAAGACACTCAGCAGTGAGGCTTGGGTAGTCTCAGTTCACACC